GGATGTCGAAAACACAAATTTCTTCTTAAGCACCGTAAAATCAATAAGCCGAAAAATCGTTGTATCTACCAGTGGCGTGCTCAAGAGGGGGAGATTAGTGGTTATATTCCCTCCATTGTCTTCTTTTTGCCTCCCTACAGAAAACAACTTGTATTAGTTATATGTATATAACTTATAAGAGCTGTTTTAGAGTCATTACTTAATAGTTTTTATTTGTTATTAGCAAAAGCCAAAAAATTATTGTAAAATATATTATTTTTTATAACATCCCCAATTCCCCATCCCCTTTGTACATATCTGGGCACGCTACTGATACCTATTGGCTATTCCCCTTTACAAATCTAGAACACAYGACAACTTCTCAACTCTCTAAATCACCGATCTAAAGCTCAAGTTTCTTACACCTCCATTGTTGACTCTGCAATAGGTAATATCTTGTTATCTAATTTTTTCAATTATCAAGAAACGTTACCTATATCATATAGAACAGTATTTATATTTTAATAATCTAAATTTATTTTTAGAACTTATCTGTTATCTACACTACACTAAATCTGCGACGGGTCAACCAATTCAAAATAAATATTGTATTCAAAATACAACACGATGTATAGTTGTAGATTTTACCTATACATTATGATTTATGAAACAATATTAAAGATAATAGATTTAATGATCTATGCAAGGTCTTGCATTCTCGCCTAGAATGTAAACTAAGCGGTAAGAATTTGGTTTTGTTTCGAGGTCTACGCCTGAGCCCTGAACTAAAATAGTCTCGGTAAAACTTTATTTCTAATTAATTATTAATTATTATCATTCCGTTAAGTATGATTGTTCTAAGTTCTTGTAAATATTTAGTGCAATTTCGAAATAGACAACATATTTTGTTCCAAAGTTGAAAAATACATTGCGTAATAAACATCCATTGGTACAAATAATTTAGGAATGAAGTTTATAGGAGTAGAATGGGGGGGCTAAGGAGGCTATAGATTTCAATCCCCATAAAAATTCTTTACATCACGTATTCACGTCCAACATAGGACTAAATATTTAATTAAGAACGTTGAGCCTTACTAGAACATTTTTTTTTCTTGGAGGAATTAATATTTTAATTCACATGTTATTTATCTCAGAACAAAATACGCACATTCAGAATATTAAATTAGAACAAATTAACTTAGGAATAACTATTTTGTGGGTTTCTATTAAAGGTTATCCTAGTCTGTGATTCAGTAAAATATGGTATAAATGTATAATACTATAATCATAGAACTTACCACTTACGGTAAAAGACAAAAGTGTAAACCAGTAAAACAATTTATTTAATATTAAATTAATATTTAATCACAGTCTACTCTGTGGCCGAAGTCATTGACAAACCGTGATAAGCAACGGTGCATTATTATTTTTTTTTATAAATACTGCTAACTGCACTGTAGTCTGTAGGAAAGTTTTATCAGTTATTGAGTTATCTAAGTTATCTATGCACTGCAAGTTTGGCATTTCATAGTACGTCCACCACCTACGACCCACCGAGCTTTGCGGACCGCTACCGAAATCCGAATCATTTGCTGACTAATGACTTCGACATCAGTTCATCAGCATTTCAATTTTTAGCGTCAGTTGCTCAGTCCGTAGTCAACATTCGGTGAAAAAATATTATCAAACAGTCGTTGTTAGCTAGCGACTTCTGTTTATTTGATATATTTTGACGTTCAAGTATTATATTATATATTATATAATTATATCGTAGCCATGGGAGGACCTAAAGAAGGCGTTCAAAAACAGATACAACAAGACTGGGCGAATCGCGAATACATTGAAGTGATCACGGGCAGCATAAAAAAAATTACAGACTTTCTCAATTCGTTTGGTAATCATATTATAATATTATTCTGATCGTAGCTATACATTTTACCGTTTTCTGTATCCGTTTTAACYAAAAATCAATTTTGCACCCATATCATACTTGATTACTTGAGTAAGCTCTATAATACTTTATTATAGATTTTGTTACCATGGACACATATATTTATAACATATTGTTTGATCAATCTATATTTAAGTTTTCAACTCTAATCTATAGTGATCTTTTGGTCTTTAATTAAAACCTCTATTCAAAGTTGTAGTTTTTTTTTTCATTAGGTATAATGAAAATAACTTATTGTACAGATGTTGACAGATCAGTTGTAYTAAGTAATTTTGAAAAACGAGGTTGGGTACATGTTGGCCCAGATGATGATTGGAATTTTTATTGGGCTGGTATACAAACATGTCGTAGTCTATTTAGTATTGATAGTGGCTATAGAATGCATGACAACCAAATGATTAATCATTTCCCTAATCATTATGAACTCAGCCGTAAAGATATGTTGGTTAAAAATATCAAACGTTACAGACGTGAGCTTGAAAGAGAAGGAAGTCCATTAGCCAAGCGTTTAGATGGAAAATACTTGTATTTAGATTTTATTCCAGTTACATTTGTATTACCAGCAGACTATAATTTGTTTGTGGAAGAATACCGCAAGGTTGGCCCAAGTACATGGATTATGAAACCAGTTGGAAAATCTCAAGGAACTGGAATATTCCTTATTAATAAATTATCTAAATTGAAGAAATGGTCTAGAGAAGGCAAAAATAATAATTTCAATACATCTACCATAAAGGAATCATATGTTATATCTAAATACATTGATAATCCATTACTGATTGATGGCAAAAAATTTGATCTTCGTTTATATGTTTTAGTCACATCTTTTCGTCCATTAAAAGCATACTTGTTTAAGTCGGGCTTTTGTCGTTTCTGTACTGTCAAATATAACACTAGTGTGGCAGATATAGAAAACTTATTGATCCATTTGACTAATGTATCCTTACAAAAACAAGGTGATGAATACAACAGTATACATGGCGGTAAATTAAGCATTCAAAATTTAAGACTATTTTTGGAAAGCACAAGAGGAAAAGCGGTAACTGAAGCACTTTTTGATAATATTGTTTGGTTGATTGTTCATTCTTTAAAATCAGTGAGTTATATAATGGCTAATGATAGACATTGTTTTGAATGTTATGGGTATGATATTATAATTGATGATAATCTAAAACCCTGGTTAATTGAAGTAAATGCATCTCCTTCTCTAACATCTACTACAGCTAATGATCGTATTTTGAAGTATAAATTGATTGACAATATGTTAAGTGTAGTTTTACCACCTAGTGGAATTCCTGACGTACGCTGGAATAAATGTCCATCTCGAGAGGCAATGGGAAATTTCGAGCTATTAATTGATGAAGAATTAGCAGCAAAAGATAAACCTGGACCATCAAATAAAATTGATCTAAAGGATAGATTAAAGCGAAAGAGCTAGACATAGAAAAATTAATTAGTACTAGATAAAAATAATGTGAAATGAATTTTAATATTAAACATTTTATTTGTAAATATTATGACAATTTTATTCAATATTTTAAGTACTAATCATAATCTTAAAGGTTTAATAGTACTTAAGGTACCAAATTTGTCAACTGTCTATAAATTAGTAATATACATATAATTATACTTATTTTGTACATGTTAACTTTGAATATCTTATTGTGAAATATATGTATTTATTTTCTTTTTATAGATATGTCATGTCGATCCAGGTTAGCCATTTTAAATGAAAAATTAACTACACTGGAAAGAAGAATTGAATACTTGGAAGCACGGGTAAAAATGAATTGTATTAGATCAGAGGTATTCAAATTTTTTTATACCCTGGCTCTGTCGTGTGTTCACAATATTTGGACGATTCCCAAAAGATAAACCATAGGGAAATTTCATTTTTTAACTTGGAGRGGCTATACATATTTAAATGAAACAGATCTGTCCCTAAAGGATTTAATACTTAAATTAAAATACAAATTTTYGAAGGGGCCAAGCCCCTCCAAGTGCACTCCAAATTTTGCCTATGTTTATAACATTTCTATTAATTATATAAGATCTACATTAATGTTGGTTTACGGTGCTTATTATATCATTACATTCTTAAACTATCACGCCCTTCCACCCCCTCTAGGAGAYGTGACACAGTTTGAATACCTCTATATTAGATAATTTATATTAAGTTATAAAAAAAAAATTTTACTTTTTAGGTTACTAAAGGAGAAACTCTTTCATGATACTGATATATTGCCATTAAATCGATTGGAAATACTTGTGTACTATATATAAATTTTTCAAGGTAGTGTTATTAAACTAGTCTAAGTTATGTATATATTTTTAAACATTTCAATTTCATTTTATACATTTATGATATTATTATATGATTTAAGATTAAGATATTAAATTTTCAATATTAATCGGACATAGTGTTGAATACTTTTTATTAATTTTCCTTTGAGTTCATTTTTTTGACAACAGCATTCACAAAGTGAATTCATTTTAAAGAATTCAAATATTAGATTTTCAATTTATCTAATGCAATAACGTGCGTTTACTCTATATGTATTTCACAATCATTAGGAAAGATGTTGATTCACCAATTRTAGCACACATTTCATTTGATGTTTTTAATTTAAGGAATTAAATACAAATCCAGAATTTAAATTGGCTGAAGATGATCAGTGATCACTATTATTGCAAACAACACACCTAAATTACATATAATTATTACCACACCTTTTCTTGGACTCTATTTATATGCATTGTTCCGTGATACTATCAGTTTTCCTTTTATGGCCAAACAATAATTCTGCACTTTATTTGTATATTATACATTAATATTCATATAATATTTATAAAATATAGTTAATATTTTTGAGCATATTCTTAAAAAATTTAGGTTTCAAATTTTTATGTAGTTTATTGCCTGGATAAAAATGAATTTAAATACTTCACAAACCACAACAGTAATAGACTATAAGATGGTTCTAAAATTTTATTTAAACATCTTGATCAAAATACCTTGTATTCAGTGAACAGCATTAAACAATTTTAAGACATTTAATAATAATTTAAAATATATAGCAATGAATATAATATATAGTATAGTTAAGTTTAAAGAAGAGTTATTATTTTATAAATAAAACTTAATATATTATAACAAAATAGGCTATAGAAATTATGACACTAGGGTAAATAAAAAAACATGATTAATTATTAACAGGAATAATTGCTGTTTTCTTTAAACATAATGTTGGTATATATTAGAATTAAATTGAGTATAAATTATAATATTATTTGCAACAAACATATGTATTGTATTACTCAATGAATTTATTCTGTAAATTATCACAAATAATAATGTATTACTTTTTAAATTTTACTCACAAATTGATAACAATACAAAAATTTTATGATTAACATAAAAAAAACGAAAAAGGTAAACTTATAAATTTTATTCTGATTATCTATTTATATGTATTAAAACACAGGAAAACTAATTAGTTACATCTATATTATTACAATTAATTGGTAACAAAACAAAATAAAATATTTAATTCAAACAAATGAAAATATWATCAAATTTGTTAAAATATATTTGATACTTAAAGAAAAGAAAAGACTATCTTCAAAAATAACATTCTAATATATTCTAACTTGTGGCATTATTCTTTAAAATAATATAAATTATTATTTTATAGACAAAAAAATATATTCAATTGAGTAAAAGTGAATACATATGTTAAGGTCTAATTATAAGTTTAAATATTAAATATATTTCACCAGTGGTTTGTAGAAACATTTGAATGTTACCACATTTCATGTGTATAGTCATACATATGTCATATTCAGTCATACACATAAGTATTTATAATCAATTTTGACACACAATATGGTTTAATTTTTTTTTCCTCTTACTTATATGATTAAAAATGCATCTGTATTTAAAATCAATAAAATTCAAATTTAAAAAAAATAGTTCTTCACCAAAAGTTCTAAATTAAATTTTTTTAAAGTTGATTTAAGATATTKTAGTGATATAAAGTATAAAATGTAATTCTATTTCCTCACGAAATTCAATAATCAAGAATTCGGGTAAATAAAAACGGAAAACACCACTGGGTTTTAATACAAAYGAATTACTAGGTAGTACATGAACTATTGTCACACCATAATATTAATAAATTTATAAATATCATTTAGAACTTAAATACCGGAACATATAATTATTTGTAAATGAGTGTTTCATTGTTGGAATGGGTAAGGTGAAATAAATCTATCAAAATCTAGTTCGCGGTACTGGATATCTCAATATGAGAGCACTTTCAGCTGACATAATTGGTAATTTGTTCTCACTATGATAGTTTACCAAATGACTGACACTTTCAAACATACGGTCTTTAGTTCTAACAGCACCTTCTGGATCAATTAAAAGTAAGTGTTTCTTTACATCCCCTTGAAGACCAGTTAAAACATATTGTCCAGGAGATCCTTGTGATTCTCTTACTAAAAAGTCACCATCCTAGRCAAAAAAATACATTTTATAAGTTTCCACTATACATTTTTACCATGTACATATTTGTAATCATTCACACATCTTAATAACTTATTTGTAATATTTTGATATTTTAATTTTACTAATAGGGTAAAAACTAAAAATGTACAGAAATAAAATAATTTATCTTAAGGTTTATTTTCATTTCACTTACCTAAGTATTCAATAATTACATTATTAGTTATATATTCATTATTATAATATATAAGAGAAAATTATAATTTTTTTCTAATCATTAAGCTGATTGCTATAAATCAATATGAATAAAAAGTGAGAAAGTGAAAAATTAAGATAAATATAATAGATTAAGATGCAATTAAATGAATCACAATTATATATCAAGGTCAGCTTTATCTTTCTTAATTGTTTATGTTACATAAGTAGGTAAAACATATATGTTTAAGCCAATATTTGACTTTTTCCCTTCTTTTAAAAATAATATCGAACAAAATGATTTATAAATTGTATTTAATAAAAACAAAATTATTATAAAAAAAAGGTTGTTGGTAATAGTAAATCACAATAAAAATAGATCTATTCTTGACCATATTATCATACATTAATTTATATTTTACTTACATGTTTTAGTAAAGCTTCAGCATGCTGTCTTGTGATACTACCATGAAACCAAAGTTCATCTTGTAATTTTGGTGCCATTACTGGTAGARGTTCATGATCCACAAAAGGTTCTAAAATATTGTATAAAAATAAAAATAAATGGTACATTGATTATGTTACATATTTATTTTTAGAACTATCAYAATGTCATAACATACGCATGTCAAATACATCACGAGGTTGTGAATTGTGGTTTTTATTTCCAACTACAAAATCATTAACATAGTTATGAGCAGGATGTGGTACAGGCGGTGGAGGTGCTTCACAATTCAAATCAATTAAATTATTTGAAACTAGTCTTTCTAAAATTATAATCAATTTATAGTTATAAGTTACAAAACAAARTAATTAAAAATATTAATGTATATAATTAACCTCTATTACGATGATCATGATATGAGGGAAGAGGTGGCACAGGTGGTGGACCAGTTTCTGGAGGAGACTTTCCTGGTAAATCATTATAATATTCTCGTTCATCTCTTGTGCTTGAGCTTAAAACTGGTGCAGGTTTTGTTAAAAACTGTTTAAAACGTAAATCAAAGGCCTGGCCAATAGTTGTAATAACATCTTGTGCTAATTCGCCTTCTCCACATTCTAGTACATAACATGCACGCCAGTCTTTTATGTCTTTAGCTACAAATGCAACAAAGTCTATTGTGTCCTAAAATAAACCATATAAAAGTAAGAATATTTAATAAATATAAGACTTTAAAATTTTATTATTCTTACRGCATCACCCCCCGACGCAAAAGATATTCTAGGCATATCATGTGTAGAAATGACTGCATGCGAATCCCTAAGTTTTAATGTCAAACACGTGCTAGATATGGATAAGGTAACATTTGATCCAGCATGATCCATAATTGAATGATCACCAATAAGTCTTAAAATTTTTTTATCCACCTATTAAATTTAAMATTTTTAAAGTTRTTWGATTACTATTATAAACTATAAGAAACAAAATAATTGAGTTTACTTTTCGTTTTTTGTCAGCAGTTTTTAGTCCAGCTGCTTCACATACTTTATTTATACATTCCCTAAGTAAAATATTTTCAATTAAAAATGTATGATTTTAAAATTTTAAGTACTTATCAATTATTTTAACTTACTTGGCTACTAAAAATCGTGTATCAAAATCTAAACTTTTCATAGATGTCAGTACTTCCAAACAGCCAATATACTAAAAGTATAAAAGACAATATTTTATCTTTTACAGTTAATTGATGATTATACAGTCAAATAAATAAGCTTAATAAGTTTKTAGACTTACTCGAACTTCGTAGCAAACACTACTTCTCGTAATAACATTGTCCGGATGTAACCAACCTCTTGCTGGTTTGTTCATGAAACTTCCCCATGAATCTGGCATTTCGATTAATACAAGTAACAACTGCGCTGCTGAAATTGTTTATTAATGCAGTATAAATTTTAGAAGGTTACAAATTTGAAATTTTACACAATTTTAACTAATAATATGCGGAAAATACAATTACTTACAAATTAAATATTTACTCAACAAAGCTTGGGTACCAACAGTTTTCCATGATTACTATGAATACTTCTGCAATCGATGTACTAAATATTTAAAAATGAAATGGCAACATTTTTTTCCAAAACAAAGAAAATAATATTAAAAGAACGTAACTTTACTTACAAAAATGTTATGTAAAAAATAAACTATAAAGTTACTACCTACCTACAAATATTCAATACATTTGTCAACATCTGGAAAAATATTTAGTGGAAAGGGTAATTTCATTCATAACTGATTACAATTTTCTTATCATAGTGAAAAAAGTGATATAACAATAAYACATGATAGCTAATTAGCTAATCGCTAATGCTAAAGCTAAACAGTTAACGACATAATAATAAGAACAACAACAACATACAAATTAAAAGTTAACTAAACTAAGTTATACATTTATACTCTTAAAACTTACAATATTTTATATTTTATTTAAGTCTTGAACATAATATATTTTTTTAATTCGAGTGACATTGTACGACATCAATATTAATAGGAATCAATGTATTATGTCCATCAAAATGGGAACTACCTAGTTAAACTTACTAAGTAGTAAGTTAAATTCAACAATATCTTTAACATACTCTGTTTTATCAGGAAGTCAAAAATAATGTTTTCAAGAAAATATCTTTTCACAGAGGTTTTTATTAAGTCATTATGTTCAGTTAATACTAATCGTTATTTTAAAACATCAGTTCAAGTCAAAAAACATTTGACATTTCACAAATGGACCTTAGATTATTTCAGAAATCAACCACATTACAATAAGTTTGTATTAAAACAATCTATAACTGAAGACAAAAAATCTCTTTACAACTCTATTAATTTAAATACAACTTCTACTGACGAATTACTTATGAACTATTTTTCATTAACAAACATTTCTCATCATGAAATCGATAAAGAATTAGCAACTCGAGTAAATGATATGTCAATCAATCAAATACTTGCATTAATGGATGCCTGTTTATCTGGGAAACTCCAGTTCCACAAAAACTCAAGATCATTTAAAAAATGTATTGAATTAATGGACGAACTATGGTTTCGAAGACCTGATTTAACTATTTCACAAACTATACAGTTGATTTATTATGTTAGTATAAACAAAAATAAATCAAAACATGTAGTGGAGTTTGGATTACAGAAATTGATGAATGAAATTGATTATTTGAAAAAATTAACTGATGAAGAATTAAGTGTTATAGCTGTGGCAACATACAAAACTAGTGCAAAAGTTTATGATAAAATGCTGAGAATATTTGCCTACAGGCTTGAAAGAAACTTAGATAATCTCATACACAACCCTTTAAATTTTGTATCTATGATTAAACCTCTGAAAAAAGCAAAGTACCATGACCCTGTACTGTTAACCCGACTGATAAATGCCTTTAGTAGTAATAAAAATAACAAAGTCTTAGAAGATGTGACTAGTAGCATTCATCTTCTTACATACTTTGCAGATGCAAATTGTGGCGAAGTAGACTTTTTGCAACAATTGATTGATTCTATTGGGAATATTATGGTAAGCTAGAATCCTATTGCMAAGYACTATTGTTTTTTATTTACTTTGTTTTAGAATCATTTTTTTGTTTTCAGATTAAAGATTGTTTAAAACATTACCGAATTAAAGATGTTTCTAACTATGTTTTTTCAGCCAGTTACTTAGGTATAACTCCAAACAATCCTAATGTGTGTAAAATGATAGTAAATTTCATAGAGGATATTTTCAAATCTAAAAAAAAATGTGAAGAAATGTCCAAAACATTAATAGGAATGTGCTTATCAATGTGGATGTTGAACTATAAACCAATAAAAATTATGCAGTTTATGTTTAATGAAGTACCTGTTACAACTTTAAGAAGTAAAATATGAATCTATAAAAGTTATATAAAATGATTTAATGTAGTTTATTAATTAATTTTTATTTTATAAAGTGCCCAACGCTCACAAACAAGATAATAGACTCAATCTATTGTTAACATGTGCTCACATTGAACACCCCAATCTAAAATTGGGGCACCAATTAATTGAAGAAACCACTAATTCCATGCCTAAGCCTTCTAAACATTTAGCGGAGCGTCCATTTTTGGTAATGGTGTATAAATCCTTGCAGACACTGTCCTATGAATTGGATATAATGCATGTAGAATATAATTTCTGTATACCTAACTTGAGAATATTAGGAATAAAAATTATTAGAACAAATGGGTAGGTAAATGTTTTGTAATGACTAATTATCTTTATTTATTATAATGATTGTAATTATTATAAGCACTATAATTTAGATGTTAAGATTTTATAATTTATATTTATATTTTTTCTTTTATAAATGATAACTTTAAATGTCTTTAACATCAGTATAAATGGAATCGTCTATACATATTTTTAAACATTTGATAGGTTATACTGCTTCTATAATTGCATTATAATGTGTTACATTAAAATATTTTAACAATTTATATCTACAAACACTAAACACCATAAATAAAGTATTATAAAACGACAAAAATTTAAAACTGACACTATTTACAATTTAAATATAAAATAAAAATAATAAATACTATTATATATTTATTTTTTAGCGAAATCATTTATGTAGAAGTTTTGGACAATAGTAATTGTCTTTATAATACATTAATTCCAAATGGTATGATGAAACTCAAATTTCGCCTTGAATCAAAGTTAAATTATTTTGTTATTAGAGTGAGTAAATTATTTTTACTTTAATTTATTAAAATGATATACTTAATATCTTTAATAATGTTTCATTTAGGTAAACAATAAAGAAAATACATTACGGAATTCAATAGAATTGAAATGTCACTTGGAGTCATTACTATCCAAAAAATAAGAAATTTTTAAAATATTGATATTATGTATGATTAGTAAGATTAGTTATTTTTTTGAATTGGCTCTAGTCCTATTATACATTCATAAATTTATTGTCATTAATCGAGTAATAACTAATAGGTAACTATAAATGAAAAATGACCTATATTTAAATTCTATTATTTCTGACTGCCCATTAACTAATTACTTTTGTTAATAATATTTAAAAAAAATTTGTTTCCATAAATTAAATACTTGATTATTATTTGATTTTTAAAACTAACTTAAAACAGTTAAAAATTAAAAATATATAGTTAAATAGACAATAGTACATGTTATATCTATTTAAAGTACATAAACCATTATAAAATACACATTTCTATCTTTTATGAAATTCTATTATTATACAGCTTATTGGCAAATAATATATWGGTTTTATATAACATTGTATAGACAACAAGGTATGATTGAAACTTTTCTATGGTCAGATCATTCAGTGAGCACTGAGCATGTGACTTAGCGTAGCGTAGGTATATACCGTTTAGTCATAAATTATAATAATTTAACAATAATCTGAAAATATGGATAAGCAACTAGCAAGTGATGTGTTACATGGACTACATTGTTTTCAGTATAATTGGACATCTACTAATACATTTTTACGTGAATACTCCCCTCCCCAAATCTATTTTTAAAAGTTTATTACGAGTCGACCGGGACGGCGGTGAAAAATCTGCGGCGATCACAGTGGCATTTAAAAGCTTACCTTAACCTCAATAAATATAATATAGAACACTGGAACCTTATGGATACTGTAGTTTAAAGAACCGAATCTATGTGTCAAGGATTTGAATGATACAAATTGTAATCACCTTCTCTCTCAAACTGCTTCCATAGTAAAAGAGATCAATCGGAAGAAAAGCTCAATGTTAAACTCCATTGGACAAAAMATTAGCAAAAGAAGCACCAGATTATGACTTATAGGTTTAGCAGCCAGAATACTATACGCCATGGCCATATACGGTATACATGCAATTTAGATTGCATAAAACATTTTAAAAGTATAATATGGCTTGCACAAGATCAAACATCACAACAATTAAAATTAACTAAAGAACAAATTAAGGTTATTAAATTAAAACAGGAATTCGAAGCTCGTGAAATCTATAATATATAATATGCCGTAAAGGAAATACTTAATAATTTAATATAACAAAAGATAAACAATTACAACATTATATATGAATAAACATTTCTTAATATTCGGTCTAACGTTAACCAWACATTTAGCTGAAATTAATATTTGTTTGGAAATTATAGAACAGACAAAAATGGGGATTATATACATCCGAATTTAATAAATCCTCAAGAGTTTCTAGAATATATGTATTTATAAGACATTAAAGTATCTTTACCAAGGGGAACTGATTTACCTACAAACTTAGACATTACCAATATTTACGAACTGGTAAAACTTTCAGATCTTACTTTATATTATGATAATGACAATWTTGTATTTATACTTTCTGTACCATTAATTTATTTTATATAATTTAATACTTGTACCGGTATGCATTAATAACGATTGTATTTATATTAAACCTAATAATAAGTATTTAGCAATAAGTAAGGCTAAGGAACATAATGCTACCTATGATAAATCTTACTATACACATTGTAAACATGATAGAGATTTCCTATTATGCCCTGAAATAAATCATTTACATCCACGAAACATTCGACCTACATGTAAAGTACAACTATACTGTATAACCCAGCGGAAGTTCCGCACAACTGTGAAATCATGCATGTAAAAATTGCAACAACAATATTTCACAAAATACGTTTTATGTAGGATGGATGGATTTAAGAAACAAACAACGACGTTATAGTCGTAATAACATGCGACGAAAACAAGGAATTAACCAGCMTTTCACTTAAAGGAGTAGGGAATAGGGATCATATATACTTAAACGACACTTGCAAAGGGTATGCAACTGGAGATATTAATATATTATACTCATTCCAGGAAAAGTGGACTACAAAGTACATAGCAGGATACGCAGATTTTGCACCAAAATCAGTAATCAACGAAAACTAAATATTACCATATCACGAAAATAATAATTAAATACCACGTAAAAACAAATAAATGGACGACCTAAATACTGTATACAATTCAAAAAAAGAACAGGACAAACAAAATATAGTAGAGAAGAAATTTGACGAAATTTTGTATGTACAACATTTAAACGATTACATACAATATTTAATTTCAAACATCATTACAACATTGTGATGATCATATTATATTACCAAAATTGTCTAAATTACGAAAACACGGTACAAACGTACAGCCAAGTAAAAACGAAAGACGAACCTGAAGAATTAGACCAGCGGTTCCCAATTGGTGGTCCACGGTTATGTTGTTCTGTAGTGATATTTTTATTTTATTTTAGTGAAATTATTAATTTTGTATAAAATTAAAAATTAAATCATATTGAAAATAAATCGTATTAATTTATTTCTCATTTTCATAATAAAATAAAATTGAAAAGTAAGTATTTACAAGAAGGGGGTCCGCGGACCAATTTAAGTTATAGCTAGGGGTCCGTGGCTTCACACCAATTGGGAACCGCTGAATTAGACAATATTGTCTTGATAATCAAACGACAACGACCGCGCACTCAGACTTCAGAGGAACAGACGTACCTAATCAAATTTCAACTCACACCAAGGAACAGCCGAAAAAACTACCCACAACTAAGAACATATTTTAATTAGGGAAGTCGGAGATTTCCATTTTCGAGGGGAGGAATGTAGTAAACCGACGGAGTAGCTAAACTATTTTTTTACATTATTATATTATATTTTAACATTATGTCTTTATAATAATATTATACTTATTTTCAGACTCGAGAGTGACAGTTTTATTGATACAAGATATAACCATATATGTCAATTATAAGTACAAAAACAGAGCAATTAACTAGATYATAATAGTGTCGAATGTTTGGGCGTTGAATTTCTGAGARTTCAAATACTTGCAATAACAACTACTATGCTGGTTCCTTATAATCCACTTTCTACTCTCTACCGTGTACCTATCTATTAGCCATATAGATTCTGCATAAATACAGGACTCTGCATGTCCGTAGTAGAATTTAGAATTGGTTTTTTCATTTTTGTTTCCCAAATGTAAAACTTAGTATAGTCGTTGAGCTCGTCCTCAACATCACTGTTCATTCTAATATTTATTGATTTGTGTAATTATTTCTCGGACAGATACTTTTCGTTAGGTGTTCTCAAACTTATATTTTTACTTAAATAAACTACATTTAAAACCAAATAAGTGTTTGCCTAGTGTTACTTAAATCTACCTTTTTGGCACTTGGAACAACATTGACTCTGTTGAAAAACTCATTTTTTAAACGATAGTGAGAGTGAGAGATTACTACCAGTCATGGACTCATGGTTCAGAATCAGATATCAGAACATAGAGTTATAGAGTAATATTACATTATTACTCTATGGTTCAGAACGACCAAAATAGATGAAAAAATAATATGTCAGATATCGACTTAGTCCGTGGCTCCGCGCCACGATTAAAGATATATCTTTAAGATTAAAGATATATCTTTAATCGTGCTCCGCCATAGACATATAAATATAACATATGCAGGGTTGGGCAGTATCTTAGATACATTTGTATCTTGTATCTTGTATCGCGATACTTCAAAGCAAAGTATAATATAGTATAATATAATATATAGTATAGTATAATATATAATAATATTATTGTATATAATATATAAATATAATACTATACGCCCATATGAGAAACTACGAAAATTAATTCTGTAACGCATAACTTTTTGTTTTTTTCTAATGACTTAATAGATATTGATGGTACTTTAAAA